TTTCTAAAAAAGCATGGATATTAGCCTTCAATTTAGGAATTAAAAATTGCCTAAATGTTTACCATGGTCCCTTATACCCCTCGGGAGTCCAATAGGGTGGGTGGAACCATCTAATTTTCCTTTAAACGACCAATTTACCGATTAACAACTTGCACCGATTTCATTAACTCAAGCCTACCACGAACATTTATGACAACAAATAATGATCACATATGGGTTCAAACGACATTATATGACCACGATATGTATTCCCTAGAATTTCTAGACTCTTGGACACCGGCCCCGAATACTCCAAAATTTCTGAAAAAGCGTGGATATAAGCCTTCAATTTTTGAGTTTTATGACTTTTTTTCGCCCGGAAATTAAAATTGGCGAAATGTTTACCATGGTTTCTAATACCCTCTGGGATTCCAATTGGGAAGGTGGAACCAACCAATTTGCCTTTCAACGGCCAATTTACCGATTCACAACTTGCACCGATTTCATTAATTCAAGTCTACCACGAAAATTTATGACAACATATAATGATTATATATGGTTTCAAACTTCATTATATGACCCCGAGATGTGTCCCCTAAAATCTCGAGTCTTTTCGTCAACTGGTTCCGAAACCTCCAAATTTTTTCAAAAAGCGTGGATTTTAGACTTCAATTTTGGAATTTTTTTGATTTTTTTTTCACCCGAAAATAAAAATTGATAAAACGTTTACCATAGTCTCTAATACCCTCCGAGAGTCCAATTTGGTGGGTGGAACCATCTAATTTGCCTTTAAAAGGCCAATTTACGGATTTACAACTTCCACCGATTTCATTAACTCAAGCCTACCACGATCATTTATGACAACATATAATGATCATATATGGTTCCAAACGTCATAATATGACTTCAAGATGCATTCCCTAAAATCTAAAGTCCTTTTGACACCGTGACCCGAAACCTTCAAAATTTCTGAAAAAGCGTGGATATAAGCCTTCAATTTTTTACTTTTTTGACTTTTTTTCACCCGTAAATAAAAATGACTAAATTTTTTTCCATGGTTCCTAATACCCTCCGGGAGTCCAATTGGGTGTGTTGAAATATCCAATTTGTCTTTAAACGACCAATTTACCGGTTTACAACTTGCACCGATTTCATTAAATGAAGCCTACCACGAACATTTTTGACAATATATATAATGATCATAAATGGTTCCAAACGACATTATATGACCCCGAGATGTATCCCCTAATTTAAAAGCTTTTCGACACTGGGCCTCGAAACCAGCAAAATTTCTTTAAAACGTGGATCTTAGCCTTCAATTTTGATTTTTTTTTTTAACATTTTTCGCCCGAAAAAAAATTTCCCGAAATGTTTACCATGGTCCCTAAAAACCTCCGGGATTCCAATTGAGTGGGTGGAACCATCCAATTGGCCTTGAAACAGCCAATTTACCGGTATACAACTTGCATCGATTTCATTAACTCAAACCTACCACGAACATTTATGACAATGTATAATGATTATATATGATTCCAAACGACATTATATGACTCCGAGATATATTCCCTAAATTTTCGAGGCTTTTCGACACCGGGTCTGAAATCTGCAAAATTTCTCAAAAAGCGTGGATATTAGCCTTTAATTTTGGAATTTTTCGACTTTTTCTCTCCTGGAAATAAATATTGCCGAAATGTTTACAATGGTCACTAACATCCTCCGGGATTCCAATTGGGTGGGTGGAACCATCCAATTTGCCTTTAAAAGGCCAATTTACGGATTTACAATTTGCACCGATTTCATTAAATAAAGACTACTACGAACATTTATGACTACATATAATGATCACATGTGGTTCTAAACATCATTATATGACCCTGAGATGTATTCCCTAAAATCTCAAAGCTTTTCGATACTGTGCCCTGAAACCTTTAAAATTTCTCAAAAAACGTAGATATAAGCCTTCAATTTCAGAATTTTTTTGACGTTTTTTCGCCTGCAAATAAAAATTGCCAAAATTTTTACCATGGTCCCTAATATCCTCTGGGAGTCCAATTGGATGGGTTGAACAATCCAATTTGCCTTTAAATGACCAATTTACCGGTTTACAACTAGCACCGATTTCATTAAATCAAGCCTACACGAACATTTATGACAACATATGATGATCATAAATGGATCCAAATGACATTATATGACCCCGAGATGTATCCCCTAAAATTTCAATACTTTTCGACACCGGGCCCCGAAATCTCCTAAATTTCTTAAAAAATGTGGATATTAGTCTTCAATTTTGGAATTTTATGAATTATTTTTCGCTTGGAAATAAAAATTGCCGAAATATTTACCATGGTCCCTAATATCCTTCGGGAGTCCAATTGGGTTGGTAAAAACTATCCAATTTCCATTTAAACGACCAATTTACCGGACTACAACTTGCACTAATTTCATTAATTCAAGCATACTACAAACATTTATGACAACATTTAATGATCATATATGATATGTTTTCAAATGGCATTATATGACCCCAAGATGTATCCCCTAAAATATCAACACTTTCCCTGTCCTAGAAACCTCCAAAAATTTTCAAAAAACGTGGATATTAGCCTTAATTTTGGAATTTTTTGACTTTTTTTCGTCCAGAATTAGAAATTGCCGAAATGTTTACTATGGTCCGTAATACATTTCGGGAGTCTAATTGGGTGGGTGCAACCATCCAATTTGTCTTTAAACGTCCTATTTACCGGTTTATGACATGCACCGATTTCATTAAATCAAGTCTACCACGAACATTTATGATAACATATAATGATCATATATGATTCCAAACGTCATTATATGACCCCGAGATGTATTCAATAAAATCTCCAGGATTTTCGACACCAGGCCCCAAAACCTCCAAAATTTCTCAAAAAGCTTTGCCTTCAATTTTGGAATTTTTTGACTTTTTTTTTTGTCCGGAAATAAAAATTGCCAAAATGTTTACCATGATCCTTACTATCCTATGGGAGTCCAATTGGGTGTGTGAAACCTTCCAATTTGCTTTTAAACGGCCAATATACTTGTTTACAACTTGCACCGATTTACTGGTATACGACGACCAATTTAATTAACTTGCACCGAACCCGACTTGAACCGAAATTGACCCTAACCCGTTTTAACCCGTCAAAACCTGAATTTAACCTGACTTGTTACTAACCTTACCTGAATTTAGGTCGACCTGTTCCTAACCCGATTCAAATTTAACCCAACCTGTTACAAACCCGACCCGAAATCAACCCGACTTTTTATTAACTTGGCCCAAATTCAACCTGATTTGTTATTGACCCGACTCGAATTTTACCAGACCTATTACTTACCTGACCCAAAAATTCAACCCGATCTGTTCCTCACCCGACACGAAATTAACACGACTTGTTATTGACTCGACCTAAATTCAACCCAAATTGTTCCTGACGCGAATTCAAATCACCTTAAATGCAATTTAGACCACCTTATTATTGTTGATCAAAGCATTTTGTCTAGGGAGACCAAGTCGGTCAAGTCCAGCAAAAGAAAGGAACATCATCCTCAAATTTAAGAGTTAAATATAATATATATTTGTTGTATGGTCAAAGGAGATAGTTATCTTACTAAATTATAGACTATAGTTCCCTATTATATTGTCATATATGTCATTGTCAAAGAAAATAATTAGCTTGATAAAAATGATAATTATCTATTTATAGTTAGTTGTACCCGAATATGGCCTGACTTATAAATGGCCCGACCTAATTGTAACCTGCAAATTATTGACTTGAACATAACCCGACTTGAATCCGAGAATGACCCGACTTGGAAATGACTCAACCTGATTATAATCCGCAAATTATTGACTTGAATCAAACCCGACTTAAACCCGAGAATGACCTGACCTGATTCTAACCCGCAAATTATCGACTTGAACCGGACACGACTCAATTTATACGTACCCAAAAATCCGTAATCAAATTGTAGGTTAGCATTGATATGACTTTTAATCTTGCAAACTTATTTGATACAAACTCCGTGATAAAACTTTAAATTAGCATTGACATGACTTACTATTAGTCTTGAAAACTTAGTTGATACGAAAGGATAACACCTTAGAAAATGATCCACGAAACATTGATATGGATTGAGAGTTTGAGATCCAAATCCAAACCAACTACCATTCACCCAACTTGAAGAATACACCATATGCCTATATAATGTATACTACCTTGTTCTTATTATGTGCAATAAAGGAATATTTTACGTCACAAAAATAATATCCGTTTGTTGCACATAGTAAGAAACGGAGGTTGTATATAATTTGAAAACCAACCACATTGCTAGGGGCCTTTATTTGCAACCATATTTAACCCCCTATGAAATGCCCATAAACTCTAAAAAAATTAGTCAAATATGCAACATACGGAGTACATAATAAACGAATTTAAAAAATCACACTTTTTTTTTAATAATAAAAAAATAATAGTTGATGATTTTTTCTAAATGAAATAAATTGGAAATTTGTAAAATATGGAATACATCACACTTTTCAATTCAACTAAAGTTAAAGTTTAGTAAATTAAATCAGACCATCAAATTGATGACCCGAATTTTAAAATTTAGATCAATTCACACTAGATTTTCCAACTACCATATTACTGTATAATAATCAATAATCATACTGCATTACTCTTCATTCCAAAGTATTATTGCAACAAGTTGAAAGGTTTAATGGTCCATATTACATTATAAAGGAAAAGTAATGTATACAACAGCTGATTTTTTATAAAGGTATTATTGTATCAGCTTCTCCTTGACTCTCGAACAGTACACTTCTGCAAATTCCTGCATAAATCACCCAAAATATTATTACATTTTTGCAAATTAACAAATAGAGTTATATGATTATAGCTATAAACAAGTATCATTGCATAGACTTAGTCATTAATACTTTTTTGTACAATGAAATTAAGGTTGATCCTTGACAGTAAAGGCCTTACCTTGGCTATTCAACGACGATGTATCATTACATAGACTCGGTCTCTCATGTAATCTAAGGTTCGGAAAAAGGCATGTCTCCAAGATCTTTTGATCACTAGAGTTCCACAAACTCCCCAAAAGCCTATAATAAAACCAAGTACCACACTTATATACAATCCTGGAAATATATCATCATTATGATCATTCACATCTTGTTGAGCGACATCATCATTTCCGTTCCATGTATTATTGCTAGGTGGTTCATCTCCAGGGCATATCGCGAGTGGAGCTCCACAAAGCCCGGGGTTTCCCATGTATGCTGAGGCATCAAAGCCTTGCAGTAGAGTGCCTGTTGGAATTCTTCCGGACAAGTGGTTGTATGACAAGTTGAGCATTCCTAGAAAATTTAGATTAGCAAAAGTTGCTGGGATCGCGCCAGAAAGATTGTTGCTGGACAAATCAAGCAATTCTAATGCTGTCAAAAGTCCTATCTTGGGAGTAATACTTCCATTCAACTTGTTGCTTGACAAGTCCAATGAAACAAGACCGATGAGACTAGAAATGCCTTCAGGGATACCGCCTTCAAGCATATCGTTAGACATATGAATGAACTTCACTTGTCCTAGATAATTCCTGAAGATTTGGTCCTTTCCTTTCCACATGACAAATTCTGAATCAAAGTATGTGACTAGTACAGAAAAATCGTACTGATATAATATATCAGGCAGGAGATCTGCTGTGCTAGTCATGGCCGTTAAATTGTATATGCATCTTGGGATCTTTCCTGAGAAGTGGTTATGTGAAAGATCCAAGATCTGTAGATATGAAAGTTGTTGGAACAACAAGTGTGTAGTGTGTGAATTTTGTGAAAAAACTCAAAGTCCTACATTGGTGGGAAATGAGAGTTTTACTCTCTTTATAATATAGAGAGTGGGCTAAAGGGGTGTGGCCCTTGGGCTACCCACATTTTGTGGAGAGGGAGGACCTATATGGTAAACCATCTATCACACACGCGCGCCGAACCGAACCGAGCCGGGCCGGGTTGGGTCGGGTTTATTAAATAAACTTATTTTTTGGACAAGGCTAATTGCGTGATTAGTTCCTTGATTTTTGCTAAACGTTTTTGACTGATTACATTTGACCGTTTTTTCAAAACTGATTAATGGAGCGTTAATCATGCAAACGTTTTCACTGATTTTTTGCTAAACGTTTTGCCACACATTAATCTTTTGTAACCGTGAATGTCCGCGACTCAGTCTATTTTTCGGTAGCTTTGTTCTTACTGTTTTTGTTCCCGCAGTTCCGTTTATAACAATTTTAGAACATTCATTTTCTGCCTGTATGAACTATATGTCTACCGAAGATATTACTATGTCTGCTGACCTTAACAAGCCCTTCCGTTTTGAAGGAGCTCACTTTAAAAGATGGAAACAGAAAATGCAATTTTTCTTAACTGTCAAAAAAGTTAATTCTGCCTTAACAGCCCCTCGGCCATTTATTCCTGATAATGCTCCTGAAGATGAATTAGCTTACTTGAATAGTGAAATCGAAACCTGGAATGAAACTGACTTCATGTGCAAAAACTATATACTTAATGGTCTGTCTGATAACCTCTATGACTATTATAACATGGAAAATACTGCTAAGGATTTGTGGGATGCCCTACAAAAAAAGTATGATACTGAAGAAGCAGGTGCCAAAAAGTATGCTGTCAGTAGGTACCTAAAATTCCAGATGACTGATGATAAGTCCGTGGAAGTGCAGTCTCACGACCTTCAGAAAATTGCCCATGAGATAATTTCCGAAGGTATGGCCCTTGATGAACAATTTCAAATTGCTGTTATTATTGACAAGTTGCCTCCTTCCTGGAAAGATTTCAAAAATAATCTCAGGCATAAGACTAAGGAATTCTCCTTAGAGAGTTTGATCACTCGGCTACGTATAGAAGAAGAATCCAGAAAACAGGATCTAAAGGAAGAGATTTTACAAATCTCTGCTAATAATGCTCCTAGGCGATCTGCTGCAGTACTTAAACCTGCTGGTAAGAATTTCAAACCTCAGAACCGGAAGAATAACTTCAATAAACCGAATGTTCAAAAGAACAATGGAAGACAACAGTCACAACCCCCTAAGAATGGTACTGGTCAATTTCTGTGCTATCGGTGTGGAAAACCAGGCCATATGGCACGAAAGTGCAGGAACATGCCTAACCCTGTGCCAGCGCAGGCTAGCATGATTGAAGAGCCTTTTGTGGCTATGATTACTGAGATCAACCTTACTGGTGGATCAGATGGGTGGTGGATAGACACTGGTGCCACACGCCATGTCTGTTATGATCGTCGAATGTTTAAAACATACACTGAAAAGACCGATGATAAGAAAGTACTGTTGGGTGATTCCCATTCCACTAACATTGCTGGTGTTGGAAATGTTGAGTTGAAGTTTACTTCTGGCAGGACTCTCATTCTGAAAGATGTGTTACACACTCCGGAAATGAGGAAGAATTTAGTTTCTGGTTTTTTGCTTAATAAGGCTGGTTTTATACAAACCATAGGTTCTGATTTGTTTACTTTAACTAAGAATGGAATATTTGTAGGAAAAGGATATGCTACTGATGGCATGTTCAAACTGAATGTTGAAGTTAATAAAATTTCTAATTCTGCTTATATGTTGTGTTCTACTATTAATGTTTGGCATACTAGACTTTGTCATGTGAACAAAAGACTCATAAAAAATATGAGCAATTTAGGCCTTATTCCAAATATCTCTCTCAATGACTTTGACAAATGTGATTCTTGTAGTCAGGCTAAGATTACAAAAACACCTCATAAATCAGTGATTAGAAATTTAGAACCATTAGACTTAATTCATTCGGATATTTGTGAACTAAATGGAACGTTGACCAGAAATGGACAACGATACTTTATCACCTTTATTGATGATTGTTCTGATTATACTTGTATTTATTTGATGAAAAATAAGAGTGATGCTTTTGAAATGTTTAAGTTGTTTATAACAGAATTTGAGAATCAGTTTAACAAGAAAATAAAAAGATTACGAAGTGATCGTGGAACTGAGTATGATACTGATGCTTTTGTAGAATTTTATAATTCACATGGTATCATACATGAAAGGACAACTCCTTATTCCCCAGAAATGAATGGAAAGGCTGAAAGGAAAAATAGGACCTTTACAGAATTAGTAGTTGCTATTTCCTTATATTCTGGTGCTGCTGATCATTGGTGGGGTGAAATTCTACTAACTGTTTGTTATGTCTTAAACCGTATTCCAAAGACTAAGAGTAAGGTTTCTCCCTATGAAATACTTCGTAATAAACGACCTAACATTTCTTATTTCAGAACTTGGGGTTGTCTAGCATATGTTAGGATTCCTGATCCTAAAAGAGTTAAATTAGCTAGTAGAGCTTATGAATGCGTATTCATTGGATATGCTATTAACAGTAAGGCATATAGATTCTTTGATTTAAATGCTCGTGTAATTATTGAATCTAATGATGTTGATTTTTATGAGGACAGGTTTCCTTTTAAATCTAGAAATAGTGGGGGCTCGTCCTCCTCTATTATTCCTAAAGACAGGTCTAACTCACAAGACTTGGATGCTGAACCCGAACTAAGAAAGAGCAAGCGGGCTAGAGTAGCAAAAGACTTCGGCCCAGACTTTGTAGTTCTGAATGTACAGGAGGATCCTTCTACCCTCCAAGAAGCTCTAACCTCAGTGGATGCAGATTTATGGCAAGAAGCCGTGAACGACGAAATGGACTCACTTGAGTCTAATCGAACTTGGCATCTAACTGAGTTGCCACCAGGCTGCAAGTCAATTGGTTGCAAATGGGTCCTAAAAAGAAAGCTGAAAGTTGATGGGACCATTGATAAGTTCAAAGCCCGTTTGGTAGCTAAAGGCTACAGACAAAGGGAGAATGTTGATTTCTTTGATACCTATTCACCTGTAACTAGAGTAACATCTATTAGAGTATTAATATCTCTTGCTTCTGTTTTTAATCTTGTAGTACATCAAATGGATGTGAAGACTGCATTCTTGAACGGTGAATTGGAAGAAGAAATCTACATGGATCAACCGGAAGGATTCGTTGTTCAAGGAAAAGAGCATCTGGTATGTAAGCTAGATAAATCTCTTTATGGTCTCAAACAAGCACCTAAACAATGGCATGAAAAATTTGATAACTTAGTCATCTCACATGGTTTTAAGATAAATGGTAGTGACAAATGCATATATGTAAAATTTGAGAATGACATATGCACTATAATTTGTCTATATGTGGATGACTTGTTAATTTTTGGCTCGAACATTCATGCTGTGAATGATGTAAAGCTATTGTTGAATGCTGAGTTTGATATGAAAGACCTAGGAGAGGCTAATGTAATCCTTGGAATTAAGATTACTAGGACAGAAAATGGAGTTTCTTTGGATCAATCTCATTACATTGAGAAGATCCTAAAGAAATATAGTTACTTTGACTGTAAACCTGCTAGTACACCTTATGATCCCAGTGTTAAATTATTTAAGAACACTGGTGATGCCGTAAGGCAATCTGATTATGCGAGCATCATTGGCAGCCTTCGGTATGCCACTGATTGTACTAGACCCGACATTGCCTATGTCGTGGGATTGTTAGGCAGGTTTACTAGTTGTCCTGGTAATGAGCATTGGCATGCTATTGAAAGGGTCATGAGATACCTTAAGAGGACCATGAACCTAGGGTTGCATTATGAAAGGTTTCCAGCTGTACTAGAAGGCTATAGTGATGCTGACTGGAACACCTTATCAGATGACTCTAAGGCTACTAGTGGATATATTTTTTCTATAGTCGGTGGAGCTGTATCTTGGAAGTCTAAGAAACAGACTATTTTGGCTCAGTCCACCATGGAGTCAGAAATGATAGCACTAGCTACGGCTAGTGAAGAAGCAGGTTGGTTAAGAGGCCTGCTAGGTGAAATTCCCCTATGGGAAAAGCCATTACCGGCTGTCTTGATCCATTGCGATAGTACCGCGGCTATTGCAAAAGTTCAGAACCGTTATTACAACGGTAAGAGACGACAAATACGTCGTAAGCACAGCACTGTGAGAGAATATCTCTCTATCGGAGCTGTTAGAGTGGATCACGTACGCACTGAGAATAACTTGGCTGATCCTTTGACGAAAGGATTAGCTAGGGAGAAAGTCCATTTTTCCTCTAAGAAAATGGGACTATTGCCATTGAAATGAACCACACATAATGGTAACCCAACCTATGAACTGGAGATCCCAAGAAATAGGTTCAAAGGGTAATAACAAGTTATGGTGTGTTATGAGTTGAATATGTTCAAAAGACATAATTTCCTGAAGCGATCAAGGATGAGTTAATAGGAACTCTTAATGAAATCTATACTCCAATTTGGAGTGGAGTACCAAGCTACAGGAGTACTCTTGATAGATTCACCTATGTGAATGTGGAAGTTAGGCCGCTTCCTATGAAATGTGTGGCAGCATTTCTAGAGCATTCACTACACTGGGATAGACGTGCATGGCCGAAATAGCACGGGTCTAGAACAACACCAAGAGTAGGTTGTGTGTGGTACGTTGTCAGAGATAGGGTTCAAAACTTTGAGTCACCCTTGTTGAATCTGAATCGTACTCACTACGTCGAAGTTCAAGTTGAAAAACACTTCTGTTTATGCGCAACCTATATATGTATGGATTCTGCTCGAAAATGTTTTCAAAAAATTCAAGTGGGGGATTGTTGGAACAACAAGTGTGTAGTGTGTGAATTTTGTGAAAAAACTCAAAGTCCCACATTGGTGGGAAATGAGAGTTTTACTCTCTTTATAATATAGAGAGTGGGCTAAAGGGGTGTGGCCCTTGGGCTACCCACATTTTGTGGAGAGGGAGGACCTATATGGTAAACCATCTATCACACACACGCGCGCCGAACCGAACCGAGCCGAGCCGGGCCGGGCCGGGTTGGGTTGGGTTGGGTCGGGTCGGGTCGGGTTTATTAAATAAACTTATTTTTTGGACAAGGCTAATTGCGTGATTAGTTCCTTGATTTTTGCTAAACGTTTTTGACTGATTACATTTGACCGTTTTTTCAAAACTGATTAATGGAGCGTTAATCATGCAAACGTTTTCACTGATTTTTTGCTAAACGTTTTGCCACGCATTAATCTTCTGTAACCGTTTTCAACGTTCAACTTATGACCGTTTTAATTGCGTGATTAGTGCCTAATTAAACAGCAGCAGTTACGTTGCAATTTTTCCTATAAAAGGCGTGTTGATTTCCTGTTTTTGATACACAAAAAATACAGAAAGCAATCTTCTTCTCCTCTCTATTTTTCCTCACAAAAACAAAACCCTCGAGCAGTTTCTTTTCTTTTTTGGTGTTTAGTTGCCCGGTGGTTTTGTGCAGTTCCACCGGTATAATTACAATAGAGAAAGGCTGTTTTATCCTGGGGAACATCCAGTTTAGTACGAACTGCTTGCACCTTTTCAGGGCAGTGCCGTGAATGTTCTAAAGAAAGCGACATAGTCCGCGACTCAGTCTATTTTTCGGTAACTTTGTTCTTACTGTTTTTGTTCCCGCAGTTCCGTTTATAACAAAAGTTGACAAAGGCTTGAAGGCAGAACCCCTGAAAAGCTATTACTTCGAAGGCTGAGAATACCGAGATTTGTTAGATTGTTCCCAATCCTCTGAGGTAGATAGCCAGTAAATGAGTTGTATGCAACATCTAGGAGAACCAAAGATGTGCAATTCTGTAAGGACATGGGAAGTTCACCCGAAAAGTTGTTGTTTCGCAAGTGTAATGCTTGGAGCTTCTTCAGGGCACCTATAGATGCTGATAACTTTCCAGTTAAGTTATTGTTTTCTAAGCTCAGGATTGATAGCTTGTCGAAGTACATCCAACAATCAGGAAGCTCACTCGATAACAAGTTATTTGAGAGGTCTAGATTAGAGAGGACCATCTTATTTTTTGGACACAAAAAAGAAGATGCATCAGAAAACTTGTTATTATTCAAGGACAATGAGGAAATATTTCCAAGAAATGAAGGGATTGCACCCTCCAAGGAATTTGAGCTCAAGTCTATCTGAGGGAGTTCGCTAAGGGTGATCGACAAATTACTAGGGAGTACCCCATAATATTGTGAGACATATTTAGTTACTCTAATTTGGATGACAATGAGCTCCAAAATGAAGCAGGAACAATGTCTGAAATTCCGGCTATTGATATATCAATCCATGAGATTTGGGTTTGGGTTTGTAACCATTTTGGGAAATGAGGGCCTAACTTGCAAGAGCTTAAGTATATGGTGTCTAGCTGAAATGGGGGAAGCCAATCCACACTAATGTTAACTAACAATCTAGGATTTTCTGACAAGTACAAATTACGCAAACTCAATAAGTTTGCAAAATGGCTGTCAAAGATAGTACCTATCAAAGAGTTTGTAGAAAGGCGCAAGGTCTCAAGCATAGAAAGTTTTTCTATCCCTTGGCTAATTGTTCCGTTTAGCTGGTTGCCATCGAGATAAAGTTGCCTCAAAATGTTTCGATAGTGTTAGGAATTGTCCCCCAAAAATGGTTGTTTTCCAAGCCAAAAAACCTCAGTGACTTGTGAGAACACACAGATAAGATTTGGATGACATCAGTAAGATCTCCTGTGAGATTGTTGTAGCTTAACTCCAAGAATTGTAAGCTACATAACTTACCAATGGTTTTTGGAACGCGTCCATGAAAGTTATTCCAAGACAAATCGAGGTGAATGAGATGTTTTAGGCTCGAAATCATTTCAGGAATTTGACCTCCAAGTAAGTTACCAGAGACATCGAGGTATGATAGGGATTGCATATTTTTAAAACAACTAGAAATGGAACCACTCAAGTTATTAGCAGAGAGATCAAGATGTGAAAGGGAATGCATATCTCCAAAGTAATTTGGAATATGGCCTTCAAATGCATTAGAAGAGAGGTCAAGATATGAAAGCGAATGCATTTTTCGAAAACCACTTGGGATGGAACCAGGAAGTGAGTTATCACAGAGGTCAAGATGGACTAGGTGAGTACTGACTCCACTCGAGTTGAACAACCATTGAAATATCGAAGGGTCACCAAAGCTATTATAAGCAAGACTAAGGAAACGAAGGGTGGATGATGAATTTTTATATGAAAGTGAAGATGGAATTGTTGAAGGAAGATAACAACTATCCATCTTTAAGACCTCTAAGAAAGGGAGGTTTGTAACTATTTGTAACCAGTCTTGTACCTCACTAAGATCGATGTCACTTAAGTTTACGACACTCAATGAAGTAAGACGGGAGAGCCAACCTAAACTTTTGACAACAAGTTTATTATTACTGAGATCAAGAGATGTTAAGTGGGAAAGATTACCAAATTCATGAGGAATCTTCCCTGTAAAGCCGGAATTTGAGAGATTAAGGTGCTCTAAATTGGCAAGGGAACTGATAAAATTAGGGATAGGTTGGCCTAAGAAGTTGTTGAAGCTAAGATCCAAATATTTCAAATGCTTCAATTTAAGGAGGGAAGTAGTCACTCTACCTTCTAGACAATGATGGTCATTACCAGCTTCGATACCACCAAGATTGATGGCCATGACATGCCCTGTGAGGTTGTTGCAAATAATGCCGCGCCATTTGCAACAACCTCCATCGTCTTCATGCCCTCCCCATGAAGAAAGTATTCCACAATGGTCCTCTTGAATTCCTCGTTTGAACTGAAGTAAGGCTTCTCTTTCCTCACGGATGCACTCGATGTTGTATTGGGTGGCATGACTCAAAATGGCTAGGAAAAGCCACAAAATTGACAGAAAACAAAGGTGATGTTGAGATATTTTGATGGGAAGAGGGATGATCATGTTGATTTTAGCTAGTTTCAGTCGGCTTGATTGGATGAAACTCAATAAGATTTTCTGTTCAGGAACAATATATCTAATGTTTGATCTGTTATTTGTAGAACACCAAAATCAATGACAAGAGACTTAGAATACTTTATGATGACTTATAGTTTGGCTAAAACAGACTAATATGTTTGGGTCTAAAAATTTGAAAAAATCAAAACCTTAAGCACATCTAGAACAGGTGTACTGGTCTTTATTTGATCGAAGTTGGTAAAATTAGAAATTGAATTATATCTAGGACACATTAAATTCGACTCACATATACTTCGATAACGTAACGATTAGCTAGCTATGATCTATACATTCGGTCTCCTATAGCTATAGTATTTATGAAACTAGCTAGTGTGAAAGGAATACCATTGCTTTTGACTTGAATATGTAATTAAGGAAATGTCTGAATCTTGAAAATTAACCAAGATGCTGTTTGTATACCTGTTCCTAGTGCTACATTGTACTTCTGTCACATAAAACAGGGGAATAAAACAGGGGAATTTTCAGATTACCAATTACCAATTACCAACAACATAAAGTCCTAATACAATTGAAACTAGCTAGGAGTCCTGCTCATTGCTATTTGACCAAGTTGACAATGATTATTTTAGTAATATCAATCTACATACATAAATTTTTTTACTAAAAATATACAATAAAAGATATGTTTACATTGACATGGGTGTTATTAGTCAAAGTGATACACGTATTTAAAAATGAGGCATCCATGGGAGAGTATGTTGAAGTCTTAGACTCTTTAGTGAAATTAAAATATGTAGAAAACCTTAATTAACTATATATGTAGAAAAGTACTTCGTATCTAAGAAAAACTAAATCGGTTGACTGTTGAAGTCTTTGTTAGAATTGCCAGACTGTAAGACTTTAACTCTTGGAACGATAAACGTACTAATAAAGCAACTCGTAACTAATAGAGTAAATACTAAGGAAATATGCGTACAATATATATTCCCTTTCTTTGAAGGAATCTATACTTTTTAAGTCTTAACTAGGACTTTAATATGAGCCTTTTTATTAGTTAGAGTCCTAATTTGAAGGAATCTTGTACTCTTTAAGTTTTACTTCCTCCGTTTTCTTTTACTTGCAACACACCTTTTAAGTACGCAGTTTTAGGAGATGATTAGTGAGGGTAAACGAGCGATTTTATCAATATAATTTTTACACGAAAATTAGAATAGGGTTAAGAATCATTTGTAAAAATTATAATGAAAAATTTGTCCGTTTACATTACATAAACCCGACCTCAAACCACGTGCCACAAGGCTGTGTTGCAAGTAAAAGAAAACGGAGGAAGTATATGTCATCGTAGCATTGAAGATGTAACACAAATGTAAATTTAATACTTGTACGATATTTTGGAAACAAGAAAATTCAAATTCCTACATCAAAGTAAGATATTTATGTGCTGTTGAATATTTAGATCAAAATTTTAAGCTGATCTGAGTCTTTTACGAGTATTGTTTTTCTTTTCTCACAATATCCATTACTATTATTCTCATTTGCGCATGCTAGAATTAGTATGAGTTAAATGGGGGCACGGGAGAAGGAGTTATGATTTATGAGTCGATCATTTGCTCTACTAATACCGTGGAAATGAGCCAGTTTATTGTTGCAAAATGATTGTTGTGATGATACTTAACATATGTACAAGTTACGTGTTACAACACATAAATGTATCGTATTTAATCTATTTTGATGCACAATATGATTCAGATTATGAAAGTTATATGGAGTTTAAGCGCTTTTCGATGACAAGCTAAGCGTGTTAAACGATGGACATACATACATACCGTTTCAAATTAGTTATTTCTAATTGTTACTTGTTAGTGTTGGTGGATTTGATCATATATGTTTTTGTACCACTCTTAAAATATAGTCTGCATTCACTATGTTATCAAGCATTATGAGAACTCCTGGTGATATAACATGGTATGATTTTGGAGGGACGTACAAAGTATTAAAATCCTGGTGATATAACATGGTATAAGTATAAATATAACATGGTACAAGTAAAATAATGCAGTGACCAAGAAGCTTGATACCAACTAGCTTAACTTCAAGCCTTGGAAACTCTTGCTAGATTCACAGCAATAATGACATAGAATCGGTCTTTGATGCTATCAACGCATCGAAAATAGGCCTGTCTCCATGAAGTTTTGAGCACTAAGGTGCCATAAACTCCCCAAAATCCAAAGATAAAACCAAGCACCACGCTTATGTACAAGCCTAGAGAAAAAACACCTTCTTCATCATCTTTGTCTTGTCGAGTGAGCTCTATATCTTCTCCATCACGCGACTTGTTAAATGCTTCATCTCCCGGACAAGTCTTTGGAAGAGGCTCTCCACAAAGTCCAGGGTTCCCCATATAGTATGAAGCATCAAAACCTCGCAATTGAGTTCCTAGTGGAATTCTCCCGGATAAGTTGTTATTTGACAAATCCAAGATGCCAAGGTAGCTCAAATTTACAAAGCTCATTGGAATCTCTCCACAAAAACGATTGTTTGACAAATCGAGGAATTCTAGAGACGTTAGCTGGCCAATATTCGACGTGATGGTTCCACTGAATTTGTTTCTCGACAAGTCTAAGGAGACTAAACCGCCAAGATATGATATCTCACTAGGAATTTCTCCTTGAAGATTATTGTTGGAAACATCAAATGATTTAACAAGTCCCAATAAATTTCCAAATTTCTGTTGTACTCTTTTCCACTTGACCCATGCAGCATAATGAGGATACTTAGTAAAACTTTTATGTGAAGAAATAATGGTAGAATTTGGCAAAAAAATTGTTTTGTTACTCATTCCTGTTAAATTATAGATGGACTTTGGGATTGTTCCTGTGAGCCTATTTCCGGAGAGATCCAAAATTTGTAGGCTTGATAATGTAAAAAGGGTTGATGGTATTTTTCCGACTAATCTGTTTTTCCTTAAGTTTAAATCAACGAGACTTCGAAGATTTCCTATTTCCGGGGGTATGATCCCGGAAAATTGGTTATCTCCTATGTCAAGAATGACTAAAGAAGAGCAGTTCCATAATGAAATGGGTAGGACTCCTGAAAAAGTATTATCACACAATCGAAACGACTGAAGTTGTTTAATGGCCCCTATAGATTGTGGTAACTTTCCTGAAAATTGGTTGCTTTCCAAGTTTAGATATGACAGTTCATCCATATTCTCCCAACAATCATCTGGAAGTTCTCCTGACGACAAGTTGTTAGACAAGTCTAAGTCAAGAAGAACGATTTTTGATTTTGGGCACAACAAAGGAATTGGATTTGAAAACTTGTTGTTATTGAGCTTCAAAGATGAAACATTTCCTAGGAATGAAGGTATTGTGCCCTCGAAAGAGTTGAAACTCAAATCTACTTCGAGTGGACGCCAATGATCAAATATAGGATGTGATAGATTTGGAAGCTTTCCTGTAATATTATTATTAGACATGTTTAAGAAAGATAAGTTAAGGGTTAATAAGTTCCAAAAAGAAGTTGGAATTGGCTCTGAAATTCTAGCTTCAGATATATCGAGGTATGAAAAACTCGTTTGGGTTAGAATCCACTTAGGGAAGTGTGGTCCTAAAGCCAAAGATCGGAGATTTAAAGTATCTAATTGAAATGGAGGGATCCAATCGACACTAAAGTTAAGTGTTAATTTCGAGTTATTGGACAAATCTAAATCCTCCAATCTAGAAAAGTTTTGAAAATGGTCATTAGAAAGGGTACCTTCAAAGGAATTTGATGAAATGAACAATGTTTCGAGCTTTGAGAGATGTCGTAACTGACAAGGTATTCCTCCACCGAAGCCAGCATGAGATAGATCTAGGTACCGCAATTTACCAAGGGAACCAATTGAGTTGGGGATTGGTTCCCCTAGGAAATTGTTGTAGCTTAGGTCTAAGTAACTCAAATGCTTAAGCTCGGTTAGGGTAGCTGGGTAGGAGTAAGTTTACCTTCGAGACAAGGGTAAGGACTAGATGCATCGAACCCATGAAGATCGATCTTGATGATGACACTGCTGTTTATGTAGCTGGTGCAGTGGACACCTTTCCATTTACAACAATCTTTATTATCCTCTTGGTTCCCCCAAGACGCGAGCAAGCCACACCGATCAACTACAATGTTGTTTTTCAGCTCCAGGAGAACTTTTCTTTCTTGTTGTGTACACCTAACATCTTCCGCAGTAGTGTTGTAGCAAGAGAGTATAAAGAGGATGTAACAGATAATAACAAGGTATGTCATTATGCAGGTAACTAGGCCCTCTTTTAGAAGGTGAATTTAATTTGAAAGGAGACTAATTAGCTTATTACAAGTATCCCACTTATTTATCTAGACTATTTATATGTAGAATTATAATGAACAACAAACCTTTATATACGTTCAAGCATCTAATTGTTTGACAAGTCTCCGATTAATTTTCTTTGATTGGATACACTGCATTTTTAAAACAAACGTTTACTAGTCTTGATACTCGTTATTAGTCACTCATAGTGGTTGGATAGTACTATAGCACGGAGTACTATCGAAGTAAGAATTGCAATATGCACCTTCCCATCTCTCCGTGATGAGATCGAGCAGCCCACATCGATCGACTTGAATGTCATGTTTGAACAATTGAAGTAGAGCAAGGTTTTTCTTTTGTACGTTGCAGAAACATTGGATGAACTCATGACTACTGCTATTTTTTTTTTTTTTTTGGCAGATTTTTACTAATTAATGCTCCCACCAGCAAGGCATTTGCTACAAGATACGGATTGAAGAAAAAAAATACTAGTAGCAAGCAAAGAGAAATTGAGGGCATGCATGTAGAATTCATGGATGGAAAAAAAAAAAGGATGACAATAAATAAATTGAAGCTGCTAAAATAATAATTGTCGAAATGTTTATCATGGTCCCTAATATCCTCCAAGATTCCAATTGGATGGGTGGAAACATCCAATTTGCCTTTAAACGACCAATTTACCGATTTACAACTTACACTGATTTCATTAACTCAAGCCTACCACCAACATTTATGACAACGAATAAAGATTATATATTGTTCCAAACGCCATTATATGACCCCGAGATGTATCCCCTAGAATTTCAAGACTTTTCATCACCGGAACCCGAAACCTCCAAAATTTCTCAAAAAGTGTGGATATTAACCTTTAATTTTGGAATTTATTGACTTTTTTCCGTCTGGAAATAAAAATTGACGAAAGGTTTACCACGGTCCCTTATACCCTTTGGGAGTCCAACTGGGTGCGTGGAACCATCCAATTTGCCTTTAAACGGTAAATTTGCTGAATTACAACTTGCACCGATTTTATTAATATATTCAAGCCTACCACGAACATTTTTGACAACATAATCATATATGGTTCCAAACGACATTATATGACCCCGAGATATATCCCCAAAAATCTAAAGTCTTTTCAACACCGAGTCCTGAAACCTCAAAAATTTGTCAAAAAGCGTGGATATTAGCCTTTAATTTTGGAATTTTTTGTCTTTTATTCCCCTTAATAAAAATTGCCGAAATGTTTACCATGTTCCCTAATACCCTCCGGGAGTCCAATTGGGTGGGTGGAATCATCCAATTTGTCTTTAAACGGCCAATTTACCGCTTTACAACTTGCACTACCGATTTCATTCACTAGAGTCTACCACGAACATTTATGACAATATATAATGATCATTTGTGGTTCCAAACATCATTATATGACACTGAAATGTATCTCTAAAATCTTATTTCTTTCCGACACCGGTACCCGAAACCTTCAAAGTTTCTAAAAAAGCATGGATATTAGCCTTCAATCACTAGTAGAAAAATACAAATAGGCAACCCCCTAATGGCACCAGTTCAGGCCAAACCGGCCTAAAAATGGGCAGGTTTTTAAACAAAGAGAAATGGCACCGGTTCAGCTCAAACCGGTGCCAAAAATAAAAAGGGCACCGGTTTGAACCGGTGCCTTTACGAACCGGTTCTTTAATTTTTTTTTTTTTTTAAAAAACGCCCATTTAAAACCCCCCCAAACCCTAAAGTTGCCTGCCCATTCTCTCTCCTCTCCTCTCCTCTTTTCTCTCCTCCGCCTCTTTCTCTCTCCTCTCCTCCTCTTTTCTTCTTGCTCACCATCTCCTTCATTTCTTTATCTTTTTGGATCTCCTCCTCCTTTCTATCACTAGAAGACCAAAAACAAATCGAAGACAATAACAAATCGAAGACCAAAAAACCGCCCATTTTAATCGATTTCTTGATTTTATTTTTACCATTTCAATCGATTTCTGGGTTTTTCGATTTGAATTTCTTTTTTCAATTTCAATTATTTCGATTTCTGGGTTTCTTTTTTCGATTTTGTTTTTTCTTTCTTTCTATTTCTGGGTTTTGTTTTTCAATTTCAATTTTGATTGTGTTGTTTTCGATTTCAATTTCGATTTTGATTTTGTTTTTCAAGTTGCATGCGGTTTTGGGATTTTATTTTCGTGATTTTTAGGTATTTTTCCTAGGTTTTTTTTTTTCCATTTCAATTCTCTTTTAATTGGGTTTTTTTTTTTATTTTCATTTTTTTTTATCTCTGGGTTTATTTTATTTTTGTTTTCAAGTTTGTTTTAATCAAATTTTTAATCAATTTTGATTTTGATTTTTTTTTTCTGATTTCAAATTTTTTTTTCGATTACAATTTTTTTTGTTTTCTGGGTTTTTTCGAATACTAGGTTTTTTTTTCGATTTCTTATTTTTTTTTCTGGGTTTATTCGAATTTTGTCATATTTATTTTTTGGGTTTTTTTTTAATCGAATTTAAATTTATTTATTTTCTGGGTTTTTTTAATCGAATTTAATTTTATTTATTTTCTGGGTTTAATTATTTTTTATATGATAGATGTTATGTTTTTTTTTCTTTTCAACTGATTTTCTTTTTTTTCGATTTTTTGGATTTTTTTTTTGATTTTTTTTTCGCAGCTTAATTAAATCATTTTAATCGATTTATCTTGGTTGTTTAATTGGTACAGGTACATGGATTTAGATCTTAAATTGAAGAATCAAGATGCAAATATATTGATTTAGAAGTTGTATGGGTTTTTTTGATTGTGAAGTTGTAAATTTTTATTTTGATTTATATTGTAATTTTTTTTATATGTTGTAATTTTTTTTTATTTTGATTTATATGTTGAAATTTTTTTATTGATCTATATTGTAATTTTTTTATTCTATATATATCGAACAGATTTGATTATATTGATTGTGATGTGCCATTTATAATTTGTATTCTCATTTAATTTTAGTTTATTTAATTTTTAAGTTTTAAAAAAAATTAATTTTTTGACACTTTTGGCACCGGTTAACCGGTGCCAAAAGTGGTGAATTAATTTTTTCGGTTAACCGGTGCCAATTTCAAGTTTTGGCAACGGTTTGAACCGGTGCCTTTTTAAACCACTTTTTGGCACCCCCCACATTGGCACCGATTCAAACCGGTGCCTTAGGCCGGGTTTGAACCGGTGTCAAATTCATTTTTTTCACGTAGTGAATTTCGGAATTAAAAATTTCCAAAATGTTTACCATGGTCCCTAATACCCCCCGGGAGTCCAATTGGGTGGGTGGAACCATCCAATATTCCTTTAAACGACCAGTTTACCGGTTTACAACTTGCACCAATTTCTTTAACTCAAGCCTACAACGAACATTTATGACAACAAATAATGATCATATATTGGTCCAAACGACATTATAGAACCACGAGATATATTCCCTAGAATTTCTAGACTTTTAGACACCGGCCGTGAAAACTCCAAAATTTCTGAAAAGCGTGGATATTAGCCTTTAATTCTTGAATTTTTTTGACTTTTTTTCGCTCGGAAATAAAAATTGTCGAAATGTTTACCATAATCCCTAATACCCTCCGAGAATCCAATTGAGTAGTTGGAACAAATCAATTTACCTTTAAACGACCAATTTACCGATTTACAACTTGCACCGATTTCATTAATTCAAGAATACCACGAACATTTATGACAACATATAATGATTATATATGGTTCCAAACGGAATTATATGACCCCGAGATGTGTCCTCTAAAATCTCGAGTCTTTATGTCAACGGGTCTCGAAACCTCCAAAAATTTTCAAAAAGCGTGGGTATTAGACTTTAATTTTGGAATTTTTTGATTTTTTTTCGCTCAGAAATAAAAATTGACGAAACGTTTACCATGGTCCCTAATACTTTCCGAAAGTCCAATTAGGTGTGTGGAACTATCCAATTTGCCTTTAAATGACCATTTTACCGGTATAAAAGTTGCACCGATTTCATTAACTCAAGCCTATTACCAACATTTATGACAACGAATAATGATCATATATTGTTCCAAACGGCATTATATGACCCCGAGATATATCCCCTAGAATTTCAAGACTTTTCGACACCAAGCCCCAAAACCTCCAAAATTTCTCAAAAGTCTGGATATTAGCCTTC